GCTGAACAGGTGAGTTGAAGAGAAGTTATGAACTGTTTCTGAGAGATGAATAACTCCAGGATCCCGTAGCTGATGGCTGGTAACTGTGCAGGGGCGGGTCTAGCAAAGTTTTGCCAGGGGGGCCAGGTAGGGCATTAACAGGGAGAGGGGGGCACAGAGAAATACTTTTCTTTGTTATGTCATTTAAAAACTTTGAATAAATAATTATCTGAATCTTACAACAAAAGTGGTCATCTGATTAAATGTATAGAAATCCATCATTGTATATAGTAAGTAATAAGTCATATATACACCTTATTAAGCTATAGTACTTTTTCCTTTGGGAAGGTACAATCTGTGCAGTCTGCAATTCTGTTGAAGAAAGATGTTGAATCCATTTAATTACTGTAGAAAAATAATTTATTTCTGTGCATTTGTCTTACACTTGCATTAAATTTAAGTTGATTACATCAATTAAGCATCATGAGGTGGAGGGCGGGGGTTGGTTCCCTAATATTTTTGCTGGGAGTTGGCAACCCTATTAGATAGTGGAAATATTAAGCAACCTAAGTACTCTTTAAAATACCAGAAAAATACCAGAATAGGGGGGATGGTGTAGGTTTAAATTTATTAGATTGATCAATGTTGCTGAACTATAAAATGTTTTGGGTGCAGTGTATTTTTGCAGGTATGACAGAATAGTTTCAGTCTCTTGTTTTTTAAAACTTGATTGTGAACTTTTACAAAATGCAGCAAGATATTTATAAAAAACAGTTTCATTGATTACAAAATATCAGATTCATATCGGTATCGGCAGATATCCAAATTTATGATATCGGGATCGGTATGGGACATTAAAAAGTGGTATCGTGCCATCTCTAATTGACATAATCCAACATAGTATCCTTGTTTTATTTTGAAGTATGCTTTAACTTTTTTGTTTGAAACAGTTTGCAATTGCGAAAAAAAACAAAACAATGTTGCAATGGCTAAAATGTTTTCAGTAGGTAAACATATATAGGTAGGATACATGTACTTAGGTTATCATAAGGTAATTATACCTTATGATAACCTTAAGTAGACAAATTTTAGTGTCAGTTACACTGCACAACTATTAAAGAAACATTTTATAATCAGTCAGTTAAACTTATGGGATATTGATTTGGTCAGTTAAGTAGCGGGGGGGGGGGGGTAATCAGTTTCAGCTAAAAATTTTTTGCTCTTTTTTTATTTTTTATTTATTTTTTTTGCTCTTTTTTTAGCATGAGAGGATACCTGAACTGATGATGTGTCAACCCAGAATGGTGCATCATTATGTGCCATTGCCAGAAGTCTTGCAGTTTCTTCCAGCACAGTCTCAAGAACTGGATGAGAATCCAGGAGACAGGCAGGTAGGAGAGCTCAACCAGATCGTATAAGGTCCTTAACCCATAACCCATCAGGAGTTGTATTTGCTCCTTTGTACAAGGAGGATCAGGATAAGCACAAGCACTGCTAGAAACCTACAAAATTACCTTCAGCAGTATTAGTGTCAGTGTCTCAGACAAATCAGATACAGACTTCATGAAGGTGAACTAATAGCTCTGTCCCCACTGCTGTTCTGCATAGGCCTGAACCCCCTCAGTGAGATCATTAACAAGACTGGCTACGGATACCGACTACGGAACGGAGCAGTTGTCAGCCACCTCCTGTACATGGATGACATCAAGCTGTATGCCAAGAGTGAACGAGACATCGATTCACTGATCCACACTACCAGGCTATACAGCAATGACATTGGAATGTCGTTCGGACTGGAGAAGTGTAGTCGGATGGTAACAAAGAGAGGGAAGGTAGTCAGAACTGAGGGGATTGAACTACCAGAAGGCAACATTGCAGACATAGAGGACAGTTACAAGTACCTGGGGATCCCGCAGGCAAATGGGAACCATGAAGAGGCCGCTAGAAAGGCTGCAACCACCAAGTACCTGCAGAGGGTCAGGCAAGTCCTGAGGAGTCAGCTGAATGGTAAGAACAAGATCCGGGCCATCAACACGTACGCCCTGCCCGTGATCAGGTACCCTGCTGGGGTAATAGGCTGGCCAAAGGAGGAAAAAGAAGCCACTGACATAAAGACAAGAAAGCTCCTTACCATGCATGGAGGGTTTCACCCCAAGTCCAGCACCCTGAGGCTGTACGCTAAGCGGAAGGAAGGGGGCCGGGGACTGGTGAATGTCAGCACCACAGTCCAGGATGAGACAAGGAACATCCAAGAATACATTGGGAAGATGGCCCCAACTGACCGAGTGCTCAGTGAATACCTCAGGCAGCAGAAACCCAAGAAAGAGGAGGGAGACGAGGAACCATCATGGAAGGACAGGCCCCTGCACGGTATGTACCACCGGCAGATAGAGGAGGTGGCTGATATCCAGAAATCCTACCAGTGGCTGGACAAAGCTGGACTGAAAGACAGCACAGAGGCACTAATCATGGCAGCACAAGAACAAGCTCTGAGTACAAGATCCATAGAGGCTGGGGTCTATCACACCAGGCAAGACCCCAGGTGCAGGCTGTGTAAAGATGCCCCAGAGACAATCCAGCACATAACAGCAGGGTGCAAGATGCTAGCAGGCAAGGCATACATGGAACGCCACAACCAAGTGGCCGGCATAGTGTACAGGAACATCTGTGCCGAGTATAACCTGGAAGTCCCGAGGTCAAAATGGGAGATGCCCCCAAGGGTGGTGGAGAATGACCGAGCTAAGATCCTGTGGGACTTCCAGATACAGACGGACAAAATGGTGGGGGCTAACCAACCGGACATAGTGGTGGTAGACAAACAGAAGAAGACGGCCGTAGTGATCGATGTAGCGGTTCCGAATGACAGCAATATCAGGAAGAAGGAACACGAGAAGCTGGAGAAATACCAAGGGCTCAGAGAAGAGCTCGAGAGGATGTGGAAGGTGAAGGTAACGGTGGTCCCCGTGGTAATCGGAGCACTAGGTGCGGTGACTCCCAAGCTAGGCGAGTGGCTCCAGCAGATCCCGGGAATAACATCGGAGATCTCTGTCCAGAAGAGCGCAGTCCTGGGAACAGCTAAGATACTGCGCAGGACCCTCAACCTCCCAGGCCTCTGGTAGAGGACCCGAGCTTGAAGGATAAACCACCCGCAGGGGCGTGCTGGGTGTTTTTTTTTGTTGTTTTTTTAAAAAAAAAAAAAAATATATATATATATATATATATATATAAATAAAATAGAAGTTCAGCACAGTGCCAATGAGCTGAAAAGAATGACCCCAATGAAACAAAACATCATCAGAACTACTCGATAGCATTCTATTGGCCTTTTGCAAGCTGTCAAAACATTCCCAAAGTTAACTTTACAGTTAAGGTTACCTGTAGTGTCTGATGCTGAGACAGCAGCAGATACATGCTAATGTTGTGAAAGTCTAAAATGTAATCCTAACATGTTACACTGTTGCACATGTTTTGACACCCTGGTGATGGCTCTGTTCCATCTCAGAATATCAAATCCCCCCTGACCCCAGCTTTTGACCACTTTATCCATAAGGATTTGCACTCTTCTCATTTGTCCTACTTATTATTTCACAGACCTTGGCATGTAACAGTATTAGGACATATTTAGTATGATAGCTGTTTAGACAGCAAAGTTGCACTGCTATTATAGAACTCCACAAAGAGATCATTGTGCACCTTACGTTTATGATTTGCACTTTTACACACATTCATATCACTCTTCAGGTACAACTTCAAATAGGTAGACCACAAAAGGCAGGTCTGTGCAAAGCACCATCCTTTAAAGTAAAGAAAGACAAAAAAAGTACTTAGATCTGTTCATACATCAGCATCACTCAGATGCTTCCTTCAGAAATTACAAATCGGGTAAGGGTGACAGGAGACAATGATGGGAAAAGATACTCGAAATTGAATGCTTTTTGTCCATCCTCTTGGATAATGACAGTGAACGTTCAAGGATTCAAGCAGTTTATGAGCTACTTTAAGCTTTTCCTTAATGTCCTCCACTTCAATGCAGCTCCCCTTTAAAGCTGCCTATTAAAGCTGATCATGAAGGCATGTCTGCCATTAAAATGGTCTCTTTTAGCTGTATTTGCCTGTGAGGGAGTTTTCCCTCTTCATTAAAATGACAACAATGATTCAGCCTATGCATATGCAAATACACAGAAATCGAGATAAAATTGCAGCAGGCATTATGCTTGCGTAGTGTGTCTGCATGCACAGACCTGGGCTTCACAAAAGATGGGATTTGAGACAGCAGCCATTGCTCTCGTCCCTTTAGACAGTCCAGATGTACTTGAGGACTTAAACCAAACAGAATTAATTTACCCATTTAGGATGGGAGCTCCTTCTGAGGATTAATTCTAACTTTCAATAGTGAGAAGGCAGATGCCTTGGCATGGACAGAAAGCAGGCATGCAATGGTCTCAAAGGAGACAGTGATCAACATTATACTCCAAAAACTAATGTACATTGTTAAGGGGCTGTACACAATTACTCCAAATCCCTTAGGCACAATTTAATTTCAATGATAAGCGTAAAGAGAAAGAAAAGTAGAGTCAAAGAGACAGATGCCTTGAAGTGCACGTGATCCAGGACTGGCCAACTGACAAGATTATCCATATGAATTTACTTTTGAGACAAGTTAACATATAGAAACACTCAGTGTCTCTTTGAATAGCATAAAGGCGTTGAGAGAACATCAAAAAGATGAGAGTGACACGCTGTTTGCGACCACAGCTGAGGGAAAAGCTTGGTGCTGGCATAAATGAGTCTCTGAAGAGGACAAATGGGAAAAGGTCACTCATTAGGATGTGATCACAAAGGTTTTGCGAGGTTCCATAAAAGCAAACAAACCATGTTATCAATTCTCCACCTAAGGATAGAAATTTCAGCAATTTTCTCGAGCTATAGTTTGGTAAGTAAGTAAGTAAAATTTATTTATATAGCCCTTTTACAGATAATAATCACAAAGTGCTTTACAACACAGAAAATGGGAATATAGAAAAAAATATAACATTAAATAAAACAATGTAAAACAATAAAACTATAAAAACAGCATAAGAAGAAATTAATCAAATGCTTTTCTAAATAAAAATGTCTTCAGCCGTTTCTTAAAAGAATCAATGGAGTCCGTGCAGCGAAGACACAGTGGGACAGAATTCCACAACCGTGGTGCCACAGTCTGAAAGGCCCGATCACCACGAGCTTTAAAACGAGTGCGTGGTACCACCAGCAGTCTCTGATCTAATGACCTTAAAGCCCGAGAAGATGTATGTGGTTTCAGCAGGTCAGATAAATATTGAGGAGCCTGTGATGTGCCATTCATTTCTTTAGTGAATGGAAAAACAAACTGTTTGATCATTAACTGTTGGAGTCTGGCACAATTCATCATACTTTCAAGTTGCAGGATCACTTCAAACAGACTTTGCACTCTCAGCAGAAAGTCAGAGACTTGGAAACTATGTGAAAACTGGAGAAAGGGATTCTTCTGAGATTATGCCCATTGAAAATACAAGAAAACGCAAATGTAGAAGCCATCTTATTGCATAATATGTGAAGTAACCCTCATTCTGTGACCCTAAGCCATATGCCAACATTTGAATTTGCATTGTCCATACTCATGAGGGCAAAGGAAGAAATCTCTGGGTGTTGATCAATCTAACGTGACCCTAGGCTTGTCATACCATTGTTACACTATCCAACCAACAGAGTGGCCCCTGTCTGTGAACACACAGACCCACGACTTCTGGCAGATCAGCAGCAACATTAACGCTGCATTACAACCGCATCTGTGGACATTATGAATAAGCAGTGATTCAAAGCAGCTGCATTCATTACGCAAACGTGATTAAAGTGCCGGACCCCTCGGGCATCCGGGGGCCTAATGATCCCACTCTGCTTTTGTTATTCATGTCGGCCGAGGGCATGCCACTAAGCGGTAGCCCTGGGTGTCTCCTTGCACCGAATGAGGCCTCATTAACAACAGGCCATTCACAAACCCTGCGTTCGTACTCAGCGCCCAGCCGTGGTAAATGAAAGAGACGAAGCGCTCCGGATGCCCGGGTCTACCCCTGCCGCAGATGGGCCTACCCGCTCTTGTGCATCATGATGTTGACGTCAACTTGTGTGTGTGACAAGATGACATATGTTACAGGGCATTCATCGCTGCCTGTTAAATTGCCCTCTCCGGATGCTCTATTCAGCCCCATCAGTGCAGCCTCCCTCAAGAGACTGGCAATATACATATTTACATAATGCTCTAATGCAATAAAACAAACGAACACACTCTTGTCTGTATGATATGAAGGGAGCTAGGAAAGAGAAATGAGAAAACTTTGTTGATTCCCCCCATTTAGCTCACAGTTAACAAACCTAATCTAAAAATGATGATTTTGAAAAGTATGCAAATCCAAACCCTGATATAACTTGTTTACCTGTGTCATAGAGGTCCACTATATTTTCTTTCTCTCTCAGTGTTATATGAGTATGACATGGTTCTTCATAACAAATAATATGGGCATTAAAAACTTTGAAAATTTGTGTTTGGTTGATCATTCCTTGTTGTAACAATAAATCTTGTACTGTTGAAAAAGCCTGCTCATTTCCCCATTGCACCCATGAAAAACCTGCCAAATCTTCTCTCCCAATGCCAAACAGCTTATTCTGCAATTGATTCTTTTTTAGTGTCATTTATTGATATTAATGGTTTAAGTCTGAAGAAACCAGTTTATTCACTGGGGCCTCGGTAGTGAAAGAACAATACACAGCCTGGCACCTCCTTCTCATGCTGGTCACCAGCTTGGTTACACATTGCTGTGGGAAGGCATCCCATTCTTCAACCAGCATTTGGTGCAAGTCAGCCAATGTGGTCATGTTGGTCAGTCTGGCATGAACAGCACACCTAAGCTGATCCCACAATTGTTCAATGAAGTTGAGGTCATGACTGTAGAGAGGCCTTTCTATCCTCTTGACTCACAAATTCTCGAGGTAGCCTCTGATAAAGCCCACTCTGTGGAGGAGAGCGTTGTCATCTTGGAGGATGAAGTTCAGTCCCGGACTGTGGAGATATTAGATTGCTACCAGTTACAGAATATCATGTGGATCTCTCTTTGCATTGAGAGTACTTCCAATGTTGAAAACCCTTGTTTTTCCAGTGTAAGAGATGACCCCCCCACACCATCACAATGCCCCTATCAAAATCTTTACTCTATGGTAAAGAAAACAGTTAGTATAGCAATCCCTGCATCTTCTCCACATTTTTGCCCTAATCTGGACTCGTCTCTGAACATAATGACCCATGTACGCTGTGCTCCAGTATGCATTTTCAGGCCCATTCAAACTTCTGCATCTGGATTTTCCCCTCATGCTCTTTCTACCCCATCAGATGGATTCTGGATCACCCCTGTTGCTGACCAAGCACTAAATTATTCAGTTGAAAATAAGTCCACATTAAAAATGCATTGACTCACAAGAGTAAGACACTGTAGAACAAACTGCAGTACTAAACATGTACAAAGGGGATCAGTGTATTAGAGTTTTTTGTCATTTACATTCCTAATTTTCTATCAAGTACTTTCAGAAAACGAGTGACACACAGCACCTCTTTAAAACAGACGGTGCTAACAAAGCAGTATGTCTATAAAGCACTATATGTGGTATGTTCTCATTACATTGACTCTTCAGAATAACGTATGCAGTGAAGACATTACATAGGAGTGCACCCAAAGTAGTGTCACTAAATGAGCATCAAAACTGAAATATAGTCACCATCTCACCTTCAGTTCTGTGACTCATGGTGTTGAATTATAACTAGACAGGTATTTTTGCAGAACACAATCATATCAAAGCAATGTAGGCCAATGACCTTTTGCTTATAAAATGTTACCAGTTCATCACGTTATCCTATTACACAGTGGTGTGAAATTCGGTCAAAACTGAATGTATGAATTCTTGAGTTATGGGGAAAACAATTAATTTTGAGAGGTCACAGTAACCTTGACCTTTGACTACCAAAATTAAATCAGTTCATCTTTGACTCAAAATAGATGTTGGGGGTTTTTTGGGGTTTTTTTTTTCTTCAAATTTAATGTTGTTCCCTCACAGCATTTAAAAAAGACTGAATTCACAATAACTCCATCTTACGTAAGTACATAGTGACAAAGGAGAGTAAAGACCCGCTTTTAATTAGGCTACTGTCTATATGTTGCAGCTGTTTACTGTCACTAGGGGAAAGTATCACCAACAACCTGTCTGTGGGCTAATCTTGCTTTTGATGTTGTTGGTCCTTGTCAGCTGCAGAGAAGAACGAAGAAGAACGAAAAAAAACAAATGTTAAAAACAATGAAAAGTGTCTTTGTACTGCAGCCGCCATCTGAGTTTCTGGTTCTGTTTATATCATGGAATTGTGGAAAACTGCCAATCGAAGACGATTTCCGACCCTCCACAAGATACTGGACAATCTGAAGACCATTTTCAGAAACAGATTCCCTCGACCTCACTGCCTGAGGGAACAAGACAGGAGGTCGTTTCCTACTGCTGCTATCAGACTATTTAACTCATCCACCTGGGTGAGACCCACATTACTGAAGAGGACTCTGTCACTTCTGTACGCCACAATGTACACTTGCACACCTGTGCACTTATAACATCTTTTAATATCCAAGGAACATTAGGGTAATACTTGTGTCCTTTCATATTTGTATTATATTTATATCTCTGTATTTACCTACCTATATCTCTATTTCTACAATTCACTTTATACAATTGCTTTGAAATTGCTATGACCACTTAATTTCCCTCTGGGATTAATAAATTTTATCCTTCTATTAGAACAATATAATAGAATATTCTAGAATATTTTTCATTTTTCGTCATTTTTGTTATGAACGTTACTCTCACTCCCTCCTCTGTTCTGGTCCACTTTTCAAACAGTTAGCATCTGACCTATGCAAAGCATCATCTATCAGCTATATGCTCTTTGCTTCATTGGAAGACTGCGTTGGTTGCACACCCCTTTACGTATAACAAACATTTATGGAAACTAACAGAGGTGTGGACTCGAGTCACATGACTTGGACTCGAGTCAGACTCGAGTCATTAATTTTATGACTTTAGACTTGACTTGAAAAA